TATTAAATACCCTGTACTTGTTCAAAATATCACTTTTAGCACATACTAAGTATATGCACATATAGAATATCTTTCATAAACTCCTCATATTGTTTTTACTTTAAATTTTAATACATTTTGATTTAAACATTCTAGGCATTTCTACAGAACTGCAGTCTCTTTTCATATTGATAGAACTTGATTCTGCCAGCCATAGGGCAGCCATGGTTATTACAGGATCTGAAATTAAATGAAACCAATGTGTTTGGTCATGAATGTTGCTGTCTCAAACAATGTGTTTTTGAATGTCATCAATAACTTGTTTCCATTATGTCTAAAACTCACAAGAAATGTATGAATGTTGTAAGGAAGGGAGAAAGAAAGAGAAAACAAATCAGATTACAGAAAAATTTCTAGTCACTTGATTTTATCTAAAATATTCTATAATATTTTGACAAGATCTTACAGTTACTTTCTTTCTGCCTTTTGACTGGCTAAATCACAGACTATATTAGAATTCCCACCTAATAGGTTCAAGGCCTATGTATCACACCCTCACCTTACAGGCCCCCCCGTGCCCATTCACATATGTACTCATTCATTCTCAGAAACATCTGTATTTCATAATACAAGTGGAGACCAGGCCTTTGCCCTGAGGGTTTACTATCTAGCAACGAAATCCATGTATTTAGCTTTCTAACCAAAATAATGCTTTCTCATTCAAGAGATGGACTTGTGCATCTGTTATTTATTTGGTATGCTTTCTCCCTCTCTATTACTCACTTCACAGTTTTGGTTTAGCAAATATATTGGGTGAAATGAGGAAAATTATGTAGACCAAAACAGTAGGAAGTGCTAAATTGTCATCAAATAGCCAAGTTCTGAGTTTACAAATGAAAGGTATAGTCTGATACTCCAGCCACTTTGGGCTGGATCATACTAAGACTGCCATAATTTTGTTTCTAATAGACACATTTCTTTGATCTATGTGGAATCAAAATAATTTATACCACCAGAATTCAAATAAAATTCACAATATTTGAAAACTATCGACCATGCCTGTGTGTTAATCTGTGGTTTAAAAGTTATATGAAATGTGATATTTTAATATAAATCACAGCTCTCAGGCAATCACTCATTTTTAAAAAGGATGAGCTACCAGAAAAAAAGACTAGGTATTAAAATTCTATATTCTGTCCCAACTGCTTTTTAAACTATCCATTGCTTGGAATATGTGTAAAGTCACCTACTAAAAATTGTGTCACTCTCAATGCCAAAGTTATGTGGAGTGAGCAGGTAAAGTAATCATTCCCAATTTTTTATTCTATAATACACACACACACACACACACACGCACACACCAAAACCCCAAAACAAGAACCACAACAAATTCACCTTTTCATGGTAGAATGTATTCTAGGTCATCATCATGTAGCTTTAGGTTCACAACTTGATAAACCTAAATTTTCAGATAATGAAGGGAGATACTTGAAAGGAACAGAAGGGAAGAAGGAGAAAAGAGATTACAAAAAAAAAAAAAATTCCTTGACAAGATGAACTTATGAAGGACAAACTCAGCGACATCTTTACACTGAAAAATAGTTTTTGGTCCTGACCTTTTGCCTTTTTGCATTTCTCTACCTGTGCCCTAAATTTTTGCTTTTCAGATTGACTCTTCTATTTCCCCTTCCAGCGTTCCTTCCTTCTCTCCCTCTACCTCAGTAATGGATGAAACCTACCTTCAGTGACTCATGCTGGATGCCCAGTCTTGGTCAAAGCCAAGCTTCTACAGCTTCACTGATCTTGGTATTCCTCTTGGACAGGATGATTTTCCATCCTAACTCCCTTCCGAACTATCCTCATCCTAAGGCTATGACCAAAAAGATGGCGCTATAGACTTGGGAGCTCAAACAGAACATGCTGTGACAATAAACCCAATGCATTTATCTGTAATATCCTGCAAGAATCCAGCAACTGGATTCACTCCATGTACCTCACTGCTTTGAAGTGGATCATCATCTTAGATCCTTTTAATTATGTTTTGTGTTTTTTAGCTAAAGTTAAGGTATGTGTAAAATGGCACAGCAATAGTTTTAAAATTAATAATTCATTTTCATCCCTCTAACTTGTGGAAAACACAGCAAGGGGGTTCTGAGGCTGAGGGTGGAGGTGCTGAGAAGCACAGCTCCTGTCTCAAGTGGACAGCCATTCCAGACTAGGTATGTGTACGTGCAGGGAGCCAGTAATTTATAGGACATTTTAATATTCTTAAAGAACAGTTAAATGACCAAATCCCTAAAGATACAGCATTTTTCCCCCTTTCTTTGCCCAGGAATCTGTTTTGGAAGCCAATTCAATGATTACTACTAGGACATGGAATTTTGATATCCATTTGGTACTGATTTACACCAGTATTTTGAAGCTGCCAACAAGAAAGTCCAGAATTTCAGGCAGCCAAAATTCCGCAAGAGACAACTGTCTTTTATTTTATAGCTTATGAATTTGGGGCTTAATATGATTTTCCACTAACAAGTTCTGTACCCCCTCCAGAGTGCTAAAGCCGGTGTGTAGATCAGCAAAGTAACACAGAACATATGAGGCAAGTTAATATTAAACTTGAAGGAAAACTATACAAATTAAATTGTTTACTCAGGAAAAAAGCACTCTAGTTGAAAGGGCCGACATAGGATTGATTGCAAACACTTAGCCAGTGTGTTCACATTTTCAGTTTTAACTCCACTAGCAGCAGTGTTTGGTGGTGGTGAGGCATTGGATACAGTATAATAAAGTCATCAATTAAAAATCCACCAGATATTAGTAAGGAAGAGCTCTAAATACCTCATGTCTTCTGTTTTTATTAAATGTCTAGAAAAAATGCAGAATTGTGTCTGGAATGGGTAACAAATCACAGGCCAATAACTCAGGGAAGAATTAGATGGATGGCTCTTTTTTAAACATAAGTAAAATGAAGAACTTGTCTAATTAAAAACAACAAAATGTTTTTGGTTCCTAGTAATAAATCTGTTGCAAAACAAGACTTCCATATATAATTAGGAAAAAAAATTAGTGCAGGTTTTCTTTTGTATGCTCAAAGTAATTTTTTGAAGGAAGTCAAAGAGAATAAATACCGGAACACTGAAATGATTAATTTTTTTAGAAAACCATGAAAACTTCTTCCCTGTATGCCATGAAGAAAAGGAGAGACATGCATCCATCTTTTAATATTTAAGTGTTCCATGACTAAATGACTTTCCCTAGAATTCTAGGCTCGTCCAAAAGCCTTCATGTTTCATATAATTTCTGATGTGGTTTTATACGCTTGTTCCCAATCTAAGAATCAGCAGATATATAATTAATAAAATCAGCATAGGAAGCCTTAGAATTATTTATCTACAAAACCAGATATCAAACATGGCATCCTGCAATGTTTTCTAGTTAAGAGAAATTAGGTACCTCACATAATTTTACAGATGAGGCCTACTGAAAAAAATAAAGGAAATATCTCTACAGCAGAAGCTCACACTAACTAAAGAAAACCGTATCAGATGCCTTCTAGACTTGACATTAGAATCCTAAACTCTTATCCAAAGCCTGGCCATGTTGCCTACCATGGATGACTTCTGGACCATCAGCAGCATCATGCACTCTGCTTTTCTGGAAGGGATAAGAATCTTTGATGGATTCTCAGGCTCACCAGAGAGAAGGAGATAGCATTATATGTAAGCACCACACAACACCACTATATAGCTGAAACAGTAGCTATACAAAACAATTATTTTAACCACATTGTCAAATTGCTCCATCTAATGACAGTTAAAACTAAAGGTGAGTATGAACAGATGGAAGAGAGACTTCTGACATCCATTCTTAACTTTTATGGTAGAAATATTTATATAAAAAATCTTCAATTAAAAATATAGTGCTAGGGGCACTTGGCTGGCTCAGTCAGTTAAGCATCTGACTCTTGAGCTCAGCTCAGGTCTTGATCTCAGGGTCGTGAGTTCAAGCCCTGCATTGGGCTCCATGCCCAGTGTGGAGCCTACTTAAAAAATATATATATATAGTGCTAAATTACTCTATGAAATTTATTATTAGCTAATAACATAATTTTATCTAGGCAAACTTTTAAAAGTGAGGTTGAATGGATAAATTATTTCACACCCAAAGTTACTGTATCTAGAAGAAAATAAAATGAAGAGTATCTACAAATTAATCTTTAAAATTTAATTTCTATACCTGTACCATGTTATAAGACAGAGCTTTGAAAAAAAAAAGTCATCATTCTGTTTGTAAAGAAGGCCAAGCAAATATGTCTTGGGTGGCAGTCAACCATATACTTATTGCTTCTAACAATCCTTGGCCCTCTATCAAGACCATGCATTTCTGGTTCACTTAATCAGGAATAATTTTCTTATTTGGCACAGTTATGACAAATTTCATTCTTAATTTCTCATTAGATGTCCAAAAGACACCATATTAAAATTCAAATTATGGCAAAACTCCCTAAATGTGGTATATGGGGAAAGGAGAGAAATACAACTCTAAACATACTAGATCTACAGAAAATGACTTCATTTTAACATTTAAATTTATCGTTCCCCATTTCCCCTCCCCATTATTTTCTGTCCTACATTCATTCCTTATTCAGTCTTAACTAATCTATTTTAAGTATAGCAGTGTAATCAGCAGTAATGTGACGGGACTGCACTATACTTATTTTCTATTTATTTTCATAGAAACATTTTGGCAGTCAGTCTAGTTCATGGTGTTCTTTGGAGATTTAGTCATACAGAAAACCAGGTATGACGGAATATACACTACTTTTATATACAAACTTGAGTCCTGAGAGCAAAACAGAAAGGTTAAAAGAGGGGATAACTTCTCATTAAGGCTGGAAGAAATTGGAGAAACTTAAATGAGGAGATTCTGCAAACCCTGACTGCATTTTAACCAATCTTGAAGAGCTAGCTTAAGAATGTCTTGTTCAACAGTTCATGACCGATGGTGACATCACAATCAGGTTATATCTGAACTTCATCTTCTGCTTCAAGTTCATGGCATGTACCACTCAGATGTGTTCCCAACGATTCCCCACGTGACGACCGTGGGGTCACAGCAGGGGTCTTTGCCGTCAGCAGGAAAAGAGATGGAGAAAAGCTGGGAGTCATGGCTTCAGGCAGAGAACTAAGATGGTAGGGAAGCGGGGAGTGTGGGTATTTGTGAAGCACTTGCCCCGGGGTTCTGGCTGGCATTCTTGGTGGAACTGCTTTAAGCCCGGGCTGGGCTACTGCGGTAATCAAAGGTGGTGGGAAAACCAAAGACTTCTCTTTAGGAATGCCAGATGTCTGTAAATATTCGTCCTTTAGTTTTGCAATATCGTTAAATACTGAGGCGAGAGGTTGGAACTTGGGTTCCCAACTGAGGAGATAATCCCAGTGGTAGTTGCCTCTCACATCGTGATTAGAGGTTCTCTGGGTGGAAAGAGCCACGCACCTTGCTTCCTGATCCCCTGAAATAAAGACAGACTCTCTCCTGACATCAGCCTGGATGCTCCCTTTTACCTCTCTCTTCTTTAGTGTCTGGGGTAACACATTATTTTGAACATAGGTTGTGCCACAGCCTTCTTGATCTTCTTCCTCAAATGCATGGCTGGTTTCTGCTGTTTCAGCAGTGACCACCACATCGGTTTCTCCAGACAAGCAGGAGAGCTGGTCTGAGTCCCTTGGGATTCCAGAGTCCGGGACCCTGGACTCCTGGTCACTCAGAGCTGAGCCAGCGTCCTTTCTGCAAGGATGCTCGTTTATCCTCTGGATTTCCTTATCTTCTGCAGTTTCTCCTTCCGCAGAGCAGTGGCCACTGGAGTTTGAGTGCCTGTACAAATTCACAATGTCCTTCTCCATGATACTTATTAAGCTCAACCACTCAGGCAGGGAGTCCGCGAGGACCACCGCGTTATTGCCCTCGTTAGTTTTCTGGAAGGGCTTGAGCAGGCTGCCCTCTGTGGTCAGTCTCAAACTGATATCTAAGGTGGACGATGTTTTCTTGTCTTTGTAATTGTTGGCTGCGTCTTTTTGTTTATGTCTTAAAATCAGTACAATTAGAATGAAGATGAGTATCAGAAACACTAAAAAGGAGACCGTAAGGCCGATTGAAAAGTCGCTGCCCGATACTCCTGAGTGTTGTCCTTCTGAGAAAGAAGACACGTTCACGAAAACAGTGCAGAATGTAAACCTGGAGTCCGGTTTGGGGCTACGAGCGATGATTTTCATTTCAATGGTGTCTTGTTCACGGAACTGACTTCTTATCAGGGGAGGTGCTCTAGTCAAATAGATGTTTCCGTTCGTTTTATTCACTAAAAAGAAAGGAGATGGAGCGTCCAAAGAGTACAGAACAACCCCATCAATACCCGCGTCTGCGTCTGACGCTTCCACTCTGCCAATCAGCTGTCTCACTTTATTCTTCTCTGGAAGGTTGAAAAAATACTCCTCTTGAGTAAACATGGGTTCAAACTCATCTATCCCTTCAATATCCAGCCAAACCGTTAAAGTGGCTGTTGAGTCACCTTTGTCTTTTGCCTGCACTGTGAGGCAGTATTTATTGTCATTTTCATAGTCAAGGACTTGCTGAGTGTGAATATCCCCTGTTAAAGGGTCAATGAGGAAGGGGTCATGATCACGAGGCATCACGTGAGTGACCGAACAGGGCGATAACACAGAATAGGTCAGTTCTCCATAAGGACCTGCGTCAAAATCCAAAGCATTTACGGAACATATGGTGGAGAAAACAGGCACATTTTCAGGAACAACACAATTTAAGCTCGAGAACATAAACTGAGGTGCATGGTCATTATCATCCAGGACATTGATAAGCACAACTGCAAACGAAAAATGCTTCTTTTCTTCATCTGAAGCTTGAACGGTTAAAGTGAATTTTGTCGTTTCTTCATAATCCAGAGGTTTAATCAAATAAAGAACTCCAGTTTTCTCTTCCAAGTGAAAATGCCCCATCTCATTTCCAGAGATGATGTGGTAGATGATTTCTGCATGCAAACCCACATCACGGTCATGTGCAGAGACCACAGTGATGTGACTCCCCAGAGGGGTACTTTCCTTGACATGGGCGTGGTATTTCAGACTGTTGAATTTAGGAGGATTATCATTGACATCCAGTACTTCTATTGCTACAGTGGCTGTGGAGCTCAAGGGAGGGAAGCCATGGTCAGATGCCAGAATGACAAGCTTATGACTGTCAGCTGCTTCTCTATCTAGACTGTGAAGCAACACCAGGTAACCAACTTGCTTATAAGGATATTCTGAATGAATGAAACTAGTTTCCACGTGGAAATTATTCTGTGAATTACCACTGATGATGGAATAATCAACATGTGTGTTTTCACGGGTCCAGTCATGGTCAATGGTTGAAAATGTGACAAGAGTGCCACCAATTTGAGCATCTTCCCTCAAGCTGAGATTATAATATTCTACCGCAAACTCAGGAGCATAATTGTTCATATCTTGTATTTCTATCTCTACTAAGGTGAGAGCCCTCAGGTCAGGAATTCCACCATCACTGGCTTCAACAAGAAACTGAACTCTTGATTTTTTGTCCAGAAGTAATACAGGATTGATAGTAAATATTGTGCCTGAAAAACAAGACATAGCATTTTCATGCTGTGAAATTAAATTTTCAGGATCCAGTTGTCAGCAAACATTTACCAAATATTTACTAATACTATTTACCAAATATTTACTAATGGTTTAGTTATTTGCTAGGTTTGTTATTTAAGTTATAACCAAGAGTAAATCCAAATAGAAATTTTAAATTTTTATATTTATGCTTTTGTAACACTTAAGATCCAGAAGTAATACTCCTGGTATTCACTCTATTAAATATATGAACCACTTGAAGATGGTTTTGCCAAAAATGTCTCTTAAATTTATTTTTGTATAATAAGCTGCTCCATTATCGTTTTTTTTGAGAAAATGTATTCTTATTTGAAAAATCCATATCCCATTTACTATCCATAGACACATGTATAGAGACATTCTAGTATAAAGATATTGATTCTGGAAATACTAGTTGACATTCACTCTAGTCAAATGAAGGTAGTATATATAATGCCGAGTTACAACTATTGATTATTTATGGAGGTGTTTTTCCTAAAGCTCTTCATTAATTCAGCAAGTGGATTTCCCTTAAATGAAATACATTTAATACATTTTATTTTTTTAATATAGAAATATGTAATTAGAGTCTCACCATGAACTAAATTGATCTGATAACATTTAATGTTTTTTAAAGATTTATTTCTTTTCAGAGAGGAAAAGGGAGGGCGGAGGGGCAGAAGGGGAGAGAATCTCAAGCAGACTCCACACTGAGCAGAGAGCCCAATGTGGGCTCGATCTCATGACCCTGAGACTGTGACCTGAGCTGAAATCAAGAGTTGGACTCTTAACTGACTGCACCATCCAGGTACCCCTATTTAATGTCTTAAAAACATTCTAATCAATATCTCATTGCAAAGCTTGTTGATAACGCATGTCAAGCAAAGTGTTGCTAGGATTAAGTGTTCAGAGGGACCACCTCACACACTGTGATGTGCTGTGGCCAGGATAGCAGTTGATGTCATCTGAGCACTGTGCATCTCCAACCTCCGGTCCCCCCACAAAAGAGCCAAATTTCTGACATGTTTATATCCATACAGTAGCATTCACCCACAGGCTGTGTGGCAACATGACCTACTTCTCCCTTTTGTAACACACCATGGGCCTCATACCAGTATTTTGTGATTAAATTCTTCCTTGGGGCAATCCTGAGGTCAATTTTTTTTTTTTATTGAGATACAATTAGCATATAACATTGTGTTAGTTTCAGGTGTACAACCTAATGATTTGATATCTGTATATATTGCAAAGTGATCCCCACAGTAAGTCTACTTACCATCTGTCATCCTGAGGTTCATTTTTAAATCAGCTCTCACTAATGAAATAATGCAATGGTGTGTAGAAATGGGGAACACATGGTGTAACACGTCCCAGGCCCTGTTCTTTTCCAGAGTGTGCTCTGCTAGGGACAGTGTTTTGCTCATCATAATATCATATCAAATTTAACTTTTACTATCTATGCATTGTTATGCTTTCTCTATACAACTCTTAACTGTTTTAATCTGAAATCACTTGCCTGAATGCATTTCATGACCACAAATGACTTGCTGTCTGATAAAAATATAAAGAGCCTTGGAAGGCATCAAATAAACTGGAATGCCACAATAATTGTTCTCAGTAGAGATGCTCGAATAATTTTCCTTGTTCAGTTTTTTGTCCTTTTTGAATGTATTATGCTATTACTGAACTTAATGTACTTGGCGTGGAAAAAAAGCTTCCACACTCTCGTAACACGAAGTCCTCAGTACTAAATGAATCCCTTCACTTTCATTTTAATGCTTGTTGAGGCCTGGGATAATTACTTAAATTGTCCTTGGTTGGACTGATGAGCTGGGTGTTTACTACACTGGGGTCTCTGAAGTTCTGCACATTTGCCAGCTTGTAATCAATTCCTTTTGCTTTCCAGCCATTGAGATGTTGGAGAAGAGAAATAACACCAGGATTTGCTACCACAACATTTGATGTGAAGAGAAATAAGAAGGGTGGCATGCATCTATAATACCAGGGGGGTGAGGTGGAAACATTTTAGGAGCATTTGGAAAAGATTATTTCAGGCTTTTACACTGTAACTCAAACCTATGAACGCTAAAGCCACAATAAATAACTTACCATTCATTGGATCGATTGAAAATTCCTTAGAAGAGGAAAGGATTCTGTAAGAAATGTTCTCATTGCTTTCTAGGTCTGTGGCTGCCACGGTCAGCACTGAGTACCCCACAGGCACGGATTCAGGAACAGTGACCTGAAGGAAAAAGAGTGAAATGAGCCTTGTGCTTACAGGCTGGAGATATTTTCATGAACAGGGCCAGAAAGTAAAATCATTGCATCCGTTTTGCTTATGGAAAACACACAGAGTAATTTATAGAGTTAATATATTAAGAACATTGTTTTGTTGTCCCAGAATTCAGAAAAACAAAATTAAAAAATTTCATTTAGTTTTGATTGCTTATTATGAAAAAAAAAGTGCTTCTAAATTATTTCTGCTTGGTAGAGGATAGTTAATAAAACCACTACTGTAGTATTACATACAGAAGATCATTACTTAGATTAGCTTTCCTTCTGTGTTTATGTTTAAACCATGCATTTGCTACATTCAGAAGTCCTGAAGCCCATTTCCAAGTGCTTAGTTGAATGCTATTATTGTCCTTACTTCTATAAACATACACTAAGCTCTAAAAAAATAAAATTTCCACTTCACAGTTCTGTTCATGACTTGTTTCTGCAAAATGTTCATCAGTGTATTCCAAAAATATTCCTAGGAAAGAAAGAGTTTTCCCAAATTAAGTGCTGATAATCCAAACCACCATATCGTTTGGTACCTCCACAAATATTAGGCCAGTTCTGATTGTTATGAACAACTGGACTCCAGTCCCTACAACTAAAAAAAGAAAAAAAATGACGCTATACATCCATAAGAAACTGAATTGAATGAGCTCCTTAATTCCATATGTACACACCATAGCTTCCAGGATATTGAATATACAACCCTCAGCATCAACTAAGGCACTAAAACCTGTGGAAACTGTCTGCCTAAATCAGTCTGTCAACACTGGTAAGCTTACATTATTCCCTTTTCTTTTCCACTTTGGCTCTGTTTTCAGCATCTCCTTACATTATTTACCTGGTAAGAATCTTGAGAAAATACAGGTGGGTTATCATTGACATCCACCACATGGACAATGAGCGTTCCCTCTGTTTCATGCACAGTATCCGAAATTTGGATGAACAGCTCATATTCGGTAGCTTCTTCAAAATCCAGTGTTTTCACTAGCACCACTGCTCCAGTATTCTGATCAATAGCAAACTTGATTCCAGGATTACTCTCTTTGGCGAAATTGAAGATGAAAGCTGGATTCAAATCCACATCATGAACTGATATCTGAGTCACAACTATACCAGGCAAAGAATCTGCAATAGTCATGACCAATGTCAGCCTCCATTAAAATTCATCCTTTGAAATACTTTTCTTTAATAGTTCAATCCAAACATTTTAACTTTAAGTCCAACATGATTTGCTGTTTCTTGGCATGATTTCCCATACAAAGCTCATTATGAGCCGAACAAAAACTCTGAAGAATTTATGAGCCCAATAAAGTGAAAATTTACCACTGAGTAGGGAATTGAGGAGGTAGAGTAAATTCGATTTTTATATTGCATTTTTTTTATCATATGCGTGCAACACAATTCCGGGACCAAGGAACATTCTCAGCCACGTATTTGTCTTACGTAGTTTCTGTATTAAAATCATATATTCACGGGTGATATGGGTGGGAAGAAAGCTCTTACTCAAAACAGTAATACAAAGCATACAATTTTGAAACGTAAGCAAAATTTAAATGACAATATGTGTATATTAAGTTAGAAATACTTAGTTCCTTATACTTATTTTTGTAAAATTATTGCTTTCAGCGTGGCACATGCACTGCTTCCTTCTCTTAAAATCTGACTTTCAAAATTATCCAGACTATGGAAAGACAAAGTATACATCCTGCTAGTGATAAAAGCAAATCACTAATATTATTCACCCCCCAAAAATCACAAAATATATGGCATGCTAAATGCCTAACACACTGCATCTGTTCTTTAGTCTAAACTTCATAAAAGGGACCTCGTTTTTAAGCTTACAAGTATGTTACAGGTAGAAAGAAGATGCCAAGATACTCAGAATAGTTCCCCTATATCTGAGACTCATGTAATTTTCATATTTCAGGCTTGAACATTCTGGGTGTGCATCAACCACTCCTTACCCTATTCAGTATATGTCTTGATTTTTGCCATTTGTTCTTGTGATGTGTTTATAATGGGCACATTGCTGCATTTTGATGCTAATGAACATGCTTAAGAATAGTACCTTCAGTAAAAACAAATGGAAGTATATCAAAAGGGTGAGAGGCAGAACTGGAGAATTTTTTCTTTGTAGAATATTTTAGAGTGTTTGTAGGTATCCCTATACATCTACAAATATATCCCTCTGTGAGTGGTAATTTGTTTGGAAACTGAACATCCTAAAATGTTAGAAACATCTTAGGAGTAGGTTGGATACTAAGAGTGAAAGGAGAGAGGCAAGAGAGGGGCCAGCACTTTTTGCAATTTCAATGATAGAGTTGGGTTGGATTTACCAGTCCAGCTGCTGACTGTGAACAAACTTTGGGATTGCAGACTATGGAGTCATAGAAACCAGGGACCCAAACAATTGGGATTAATTAGCATATCATGTAAAATTTTGTATTTTCTACCTCTACCATTAACGTGGGTAAAATTTTTCTTGCAATGCTGACAGTGAGTTTGCACTAAAGGAAAGTGATGACTCTGTGCAATGAGAATCCCTTCACTTATCACTTGCCATTTGTATACTGCAAAGCCCAACAAAATTATCAGTCTAAGGACATTGCTTCTTCTCAGAGGAGCTCTAGAATGACCATCATAGTCAACAAAGTGTGCTTCTTCATGGAGCAGATTTTGGATTTGAGAAATATGGGCACACACAAAAGCAGCTGTGTGGAATGGCAGGTTGAGCCTGGGGACTTAAAGGCAAATCCCAGCCTCAACATCTAACGTCTTTGACATTTGATATTTAACTTCTGGCCATCCATTTTCTGTTCTGTAAGATGAAGACAGAAGCTGTCCACGTTGCACAGTTCCTGAGGATTAGCACTCATACTGATTAGAATGCCTGGCTGGTAGATGAGATTACACAAGTGAAAACCATGATTCCAAATCAGCACACTTACTTTCTGCAATTTCTACTGCTTCAGAAGGGAGAAAAGCCGGGGCATTGTCATTTATATCAGTCACCTTAATCTTGATGACACTTGTACCAGAAAGCCTGGGCATCCCTTTATCTGTGGCTTGCACAATCAAGCTGGTTTGGAAAAGAATCAAGAAACGTAATCCATTATCCAGAGAATTAGAAAAACAACATAAATATCAAATATCTCATTGAAAACTTAAAAAATGAGCTGACTAGCTACTTTTATTTTCCCCCTAGCTTTTTCTAAACGGCATCATTTAAAAATTTATTTCATCAGAATGGTAGCCTGGGGGTGCCTGGGTGGCTCAGTCGGTTAAGCGGCTGCCTTTGGCTCAGGTCATGATCCTGGGGTCCTGGGATCGAGCCCCGTGTCAAACTCCCTACTCAACAGGGAGTCTGCCTCTCCCTCTGCTCCTTACCCCTGGCTTATGTGTGCACTCTCTCTCTCAAATAAATAAATAAAATCTTAAAAAAAAAAAAGAATGGTAGCCTGAAATTTATTTATTTTTGACTGGTTTAGAGCATCAAATCCAGCAAGCCACCAGGGATCATGTGGCATTTACAAATGAGCGTTTTCTGGAGACAGACTGTAGAATTCAGTCCTTTCCTACCAAGGACAACCTAAAAAGTACAAACACCAATATATGTTCTTTGGGTAAGTAGACTGCCTCCACCCTACCATGCATGGCCTGGATATTACTACGTATTTCCATTTTACTGTACCAACAAAGATAGAGCCACTAAGAGATTGCTTTGTACTGATATTTTTTTAGATCCAGATTCAAAGACAATAGAAACTGTAGAATTAAGAGAGGATGCTGCACGATTAATACAGGTACAAAAATGCATGATTGGCTAGAACTATAGAGTAGGGGGGAAAGTCTATGATCCGAAAGAATTTATATGCCGTGATTTCATCTCTCTTAGATGATGGTACAACTAACTCCAGCAACTAAATTCAAAACCTTCTTAGTGCCTTCAACGTCTCCATTTCTGTCACCAATCTTCCAAAACCCAACTCCTTGTGAGTCTTACAGATTTTACCTTCTCAATATCACTTGGATCAGTGTTCCCAACCGTTTCAGTTCTGCCTTCAGAGCCTCAGGTAGGTTGATAACCTTCTTGCTTTGCCCGGGACTGAAGGGTTTCCTGGGACATGGGACTTTCAAGTTTTGTTTTTTTTTTAAAAAAAAATAAAACAAACAAAAAAACAGGACAGTCCCAGGCAAACCAGGACAAGTTGGTTTCTGTAGCCTCATCCCCTCATCATCTTGACCTGGAATGTTCCATCCTCATTATATCCTTTCCCATCTGGAGTACTTGTTTGTCCACCAATCTCCCTACTGCAAGTCTCATCTGCCCCTGTCGATCCCCCACACTGCCACTCAACTGCCCCATCCAACATCCTGAATTGAAAACCTGACTTCCCTATTGAAAACTTTTCCTTGGCTCTTCATGTCTACAAGAGGTAGTCCAGGCCTTGAGCACATACACATGACCTCCAATGATTTGGCTTCGGCCTGGAATTACTGTCCCTATACTACCCTCTTGATCTTCCAAAGCTCACATCTCCGGGAAGCTCTCCCTGACTTCCGGTCTGATTCAGATGCCCCTTTCTCAATCCCACAGCACCCTGTACATTCTTCTGACACAGCAGTCATCATCCTTTGTTCTTACTGACTGATTATCTGCCTCTCCTGTAAGTTTAATGAGAGCAGGTGAGCTATGTATCTTACTTGATTTTTAAAAAATATATGTTGAGGGCTGGTTCTCAAGATTTGTCTAAGATTATGAATGTATTGTATGACAGAGCCAGGATTCAAGCCCAGGTCTTGGCTGACTGGAAAGCCTGTGTCTATCGTCTGAGCTCCACTGTATATTTTCAACAAGGATATATATTACTGTGCATCTATCATGCCCTAATGTATAACCATTAGCTTTTCACTCTGCTCTAAACACTATGAATTCCAGGAGGGTAGTTGAGGAATGATGCAAGTTGTCCATCAGAAGATAATCTTTACCTCGAAATTGGTGTTAGTCTTAGCATGTGGTTGATACTACCCTTTAAGAAACTGAGTCTTGGAAGTCGACACATTTCTACTTTCTTTTTCCTTAGCTTACCTGATGAGTGGTCTATCTTTCTAATCTCACATTTTAAAATGATGTAAAATAAGCATCAACTCTTTCTTGGCTTAAATCCCACTTTATAGCAAATGATCCCTGTTTATCTACTGTTCGTGGAGCACACAGGCTGCCTTCTATGCTATCAGAGCTGGGACATCAGTAAAATAACTACTTGAATTTCACACTTCTGGAGCTTAGGAATCATTCCATGTGGAAAGTTTGTTTTGTTAGCATGAACATAAGTCAGGTACATATGGAAATATTTTACTAAAAATAAACAAATCATAATGTTCTCTGCCTCTGTAGCCTACCCCTCCCCAGTGTCATACTAAAAGCTCAGCCAAGACATCAAAGTTATGGCTCTGTCAATTCTTCAGCTATAGCTACAACCACCCTGATTTTTACAACGTTACAGTGTCATGGGTTCCATATAATGCCTAAGTCAACTTAAAAAAACATGAGAATCTTTGATACGGAGTAAAATGTACAATTCAGTTTCAAAATAAAAAGACGAGTAAACAGTTCCTCAATAGCTTGAAGAACAGATGGAAAATTATGAAGGCAGATCCACCAAGATTCTACACATAACTTCTGTGAGACCTCAAGTTTTCTATGATGGCTCCTTGGCAGTCTTTGTAAAACTATTGGTTGTAACCAGTCCAATTGGCTCCAGGTTTCAGAACGGCTGCCCTGACTATTATTACATCAGCAGAGATTATAAATGAAACTGACCAGATTTAGAACTGGCCCGTTCTAACTCAGAGCATATTTCTCCTATTCTACCAACCACAGGAAGCTTCTTTTATCACCTTAAACTTTAGATGGGACCTTGACCAGGCAGTATCCTTTCTGATTGCTTTAATGAATACTGAAGGTGGAAGGGAATTTTTCAAAACTCCCTCTCCACAGTATCTTAAATGTCTACCCAGAATTCCATGTTCTTCTGAAATTCTAAGTAAAACAAAAATATCAGCCAACGTCAGAAACACCTATGAGGGGAAGAGCTATGACTTCTGGTTTTAACTACACAAGTGTTATCTCTTCTTCCTCCTGAGATTCTATGATAATGATAGCAAAAGAATTTAAAATAAGGTATATGTCCATAAGGCTAACAGTGAAGTGGAGAAGATTTTGGTGGGTAGAGGTGGTGAGAAGTTTCAACAAATTTCTGGAAAATGCAAGCAGATTTGGGAGTGGTTACAGATAAGTGGGTAACAGGAAACCACAGATTGAAATATATCTAGAGGGAGATAAGGATGAGTGGGGAACAGATTTGCCCCCACATAACCAATGACAGACACAAGACACGACAGGAGGTGGGGTGAGATATTGAGCTAAAAATAGCTTGACGATTATTTTAAACTCAAAACACAGAATAATTAAGTCCCCTTGCCCATTGCTCTTCACTCCCAGGTAAAAGAATGTCTGATTTTCATCTTCAGAGTAAATAACATTGAGGTCTGCCCCTGGAGAAATACTGTCATTTGTATGTCGTCCTGCAGAGTAGTCAACTTCCTCTCTGGTTCATCTGAAAGTGAAGTGTGCTGGTTGATAAGCTCTGCCAGCCCACTCAGAGATTCTGATGACTTTGCTCTTGCCTCACTCAGAACCGAGGATCATTAGTTACTTAGAGAAAGTCTCCAACATGAAAAAGAGTGTAGAACAGATGAGAAGAAGAAATAAACCTGAAAGAAACAGAGATCTTGAAAGAACAAAAGAAAATATAAAAACAGTTTTAATTAATGTCTTTGGAGAGCTATCAGAAGGCAATGCAGGCATGAAATAAGAACAAGATGCTATGGAAAAGCAGAAAGATCAAGAAAAAGCTTGTGGAAATAAGAAATATGTATATAACATCTCCTTAAACTCCTTAAAATAAGGAACATTTCTAGTGGATTCTAATCCAAACACATTGTGAAACCCTTTTCTTTTATGGAGTCCAACCTCTCCCTGTGGTTTCCATGACCATCTTTTCCAGATTCTGTTCCTTTTCTTCCCTGAATCTATTCCACTGGCTTCTATTTGTCTGCTTGATCCTCAAGTAGTGGTAATCCCCCAAATTCTCATCTTGCGGACTTTCCCTAGGTAATTCCATTTTACATATTTTCCCTGGATGAACCTGAAATCTAAATCTTGGATGAAGACCTCTTTCCCAGGCTCCTGATCGGTATTTTAATCGCCTAAGGAATGTCTGAACTTTTGTTCTTGCACTAGCCCTTGAAACTCAAAATGCCCAGAAAAAATCCCAATCCCAATCCCCATTCCAACCCCAATTCCAATTCCTGCCTTTCCTATGAAGAAATTTCAGAATCACTTTCTATCTCTTTCCTTGTTGAAGAAATTCAACTGTTGACCATGTTCCTATGGATTCCATACCTGAATCAATTAGTAAGTATGTTCCCTCCTACCATCCCCACTGCTTTATTCTTTATCATTAGCAGACCTTTCACAGCCATTGTCTAGCTTAACTAATCTGTCTGATGCTGGTCCTCCTCTGTTTTGCAATGTATCTGTTACCAGATGTCTTTTAAAAATAAAGATCTGACCATGCACTGACTTGTTTTGACTTTTATATGCCCTACCGAATCAAGTACAATTTCCATCATATGGGATATGAAGTCCCTCAAAACTTGCCTGTGATCTACCAGCCTCTTTTTTTTGTTGGTTTTGTTTTGTTTTTCAGATCATTGTAAGTTTGTTTCTAATTTTACTAAGGTATAATTGACGTACACCACTGTGTACATTTAAGGTGTATAACATAATGATTTGATATCCATCATTTCATATAGATACAAAAAAAAGAGAAATGATTTTTTTCTTGTGATGAAAGCTCTTAAAATTACTCTTCTTAGAAGATTTTATTTATTTATTTGAGGAAGAGAGAGAGAGCATGAGCAGGGAGGGCAGAGGGAGAAGGAGAAGCAGACTCCCCGCTGAGCAGGGAGCCCATTGCGATGCGGGGCTCGATCCCAGGACCCTGGGATCGTGACCTGAGCTGAAGGCAGATGCTTAACCGACTGAGTCACCCAGGCACCCCTTAAAACTACTCTCTTATCAACTCTCAGCTATACCACACAGTGGTGTTAACGATGTCATCACGTTGTAGATCACATCCCCAGTATTTATCTTGTAACTGAAACTTTGTACTTTTGGCCACATTCCTCCTATTCCTGCACATTCTAACCTCTTTTTCATTACCCCACATGCAGGTTCTTCTCAGGTGCACTGTACCACTTGTTGCTTCCAAACATACCTTATAAACACTTTTGCATATCCATGACTTTCCTGTTTTTGGCCTGAAAGTCTTTTATTCTTTTCATGGAGAGTCAACAGAATGGGGTTGCAATCCCAGCTCTGCTATATGAGTCATGTATTTTGGAAAAGATAATGAACATCTCAGCCAACTTCCTACCTTGTAAAAAATACTTGTTTCTCAGTATTTCTCTCACGGTCATAATGAGCTCTCAGTGGAGAGTATGAGTTTAGCGTTGCTCTTGGCAATAACTGCTCTTTGAACTTGAATATTTACGCTACAGAAATTGAATATTTAAACCTTTAAATTAATTCTTATTTGCCTAGAGTTTTTCTTCCCTGTTTCATGCTTCGTAAAGACACAGGTATGCACTTTGCAGATGCATTCACATGATACAATAGAAAGCCCTACTAGGACCTCTCATATGGGCAGGAATCCCATCAGTTCTGCCATTTACTAGCTGTGTATTCTTGGCAAACAACTGTATTCTCTGAACTTTAATTTCCTCTTTCTGTAAATCTTAATCTGTTATGAGAATTTGACATATAAAGCAGCTCTATAAATGACAACTATTGTGATTATTAATATGCCGCCTGCCATGGGTTATAATGGCGCTTGATTTTTGAGTTCCCTAAAAACAAGAACACTTGCATGTGTCTTTACATCCCCAACCTCACGCTTAGTAAATAGTTTTACAATTCAGAAATGCCAGTCAGATAGAACTTAAGGTCAATTTTAGAGTTGGTCATCACCTCTCCACTGAGTTTTCTTACATGTGGCTTTAAAATGAGGCCTAAAGATTATTTAAGTTTTATTTATAGTATATTGACTATAATCAGAACTGAGAATATCTTTTCCTCCCTCATTTTATATTGTAAAAAAGAGGGTTAGAATTGGGAATATTTTCTTCAGTTGGACAAAATAGCAACTTCAAAAGTAAAGTTAAAAGCAGAACAATACCATTTCCAAAGCATCCACTAAGGATGTAGCAGACGAGGGGGCAAGCATTCTGAATTCCCGCTACTCGAAATATCAGGGAAAGCCCTAAAGAAGAAGAGAAGCCACAAGGGAGGGGACGAAGGGAAGAACCTGAATAGGCAGGAGGTTTAAAATATTTCCTCGCCTTGGTGATGGTGGAGACTGTGAGTGTGTGTGTGTGTGCGTGTGTGTGTGTGTGTGTGTGTGGTTGTCTCTGTCTCTCTCTGTGGCAGTGTGTGTAGAGTTAAAATTCTCTCCGCTCCTGCTTTTCTTCTTCATGGGGAATTGGAGAGGGGCACTTTTCAATATTGGGACCAATTTAGATGTTCGGAACATTGAAACAATGACGCAAATAGGAAAAAGCTTAAAGGAGTCCGGTTTAATTACTAATTAGGCTCCATTGAGTAAGAAGAACATTAGGACAGAAAGTCATTACAACCCGGAAGTGCTTAGTTCCTGGAACACAGCAGACCTTCGGTAATCTCTGAATTTGTAATCACTCAGGTGCCACTAGGCTGAGGACCGACCTGTAGTCATCTACAGAGAGAGAAAATTGGCTTTATGCTTAAGATGGCTGTAGAAACCATGTAGCCGCAATGGGTTTTAACATATTTAGACAGCCGGTTTTAATATGTTTATACAATAAGCATCATAACAATTGATTACATTAAAATATTACTGAAAAAAATCTTACTCGTTAATACAGGGTAAGGTCTTAAACTTTTAAAATGCTCTTGAAGTAATATTTTGAAATATATTAAACAAAAAAGAACGAAACAATCAACATTTTAGAGCCGGGAAGGTTTTCAGAGGTCAATTAATCCAGGCCAGTTAATTAATAACAGATCCATTGTAATTGGCTCTCGCCGCTCAGCCACATGCATCTACTGCCCTTTCCTCATTAAAAGTGAAAGCAGTCTGGCCTAAAAGAACACCAGCACTCAGGTCTCTCATCTGCCTGCTTCTTCCCCATGTAGAAGGTGGGCTCTGTAGCTTGCACGGTGGAAACAAGGTGAGTCAACATCAGAACACTTGGGCCTGAGCCTCTGCTGGATCACTAACTGGCTCCGTGGCCCCGCATGCCACCGCGTGTTGGTTGTCTCAGAATGGATAAGAGAACACCTAACTCGGCTTCCTCGGGGGGTGACTGGAAGGATTAAAGGAACCACTGTATGTGCAAGGCCTTTTGGAAGAACATACAAAAATATGACACAAATATACTAAAATGCATAATGAGAAAGCCAAGCCTCTGACCCCAGTTTCCCCCGCGACCACTTCTCCAGAGATAAACAAGGTTAAGTTTCTTAGGTTTTCTTCCTGAAGGCGTCCCAGTATATGGGTGTGCCGTGACTCCAACAGGCCTACAGAATAAACCTTTGTTATTTCCCCCACTCACCCATATAACTAGGGCTCTCTCTTCAGTGGCACTCACAGAGAAACCACCTTCTCTTGTCAAAGAGTAGAATTCCACGGAAGGCTAGGCTACCACTGTTTGAGGCAATCTCCACTCCTGGACATTTTTGGTTCCTTAGAGTCTTTTCCTTTTTCTTTTATAGACCGTGATGTCATAAATATATCTGTATGTACAGCAAGACTTTTGTAGCCCTGACTTTTTAAAATAACCAGAAGACCTGTGACCCTGTTATTCTCTCTTTTATAGAATTCTGCATAATTCTGTACACCTTAAACTCTAGACAAAATATATTTCATGTTGAACGTGTACTTCATCAGATCATTTGTATTAGAACACAGTACTGCAACAAGGACCTGATGACAGGGTTGTGCTTTCGTCCATGAAACTGAGTAAAGAATTAAAAAGAGAAATGTCACCCAGTCTTCACTATTTTTAAAAACAAGAACAAAAAACAGTTGCAGAGTGCTCTATCAGTCAGTAGGCATTTCACAAATACTGTCATTTTTAATGTCTCTCATTTAGTATTTAATAGCATCAAAAATTCATAAAAGCTAAGAATTGCAAGGGACCCTAAAGTTGTAGTGTAATCACCTTTTCCAAAGAGCAAATACTTTCTAAGACTCCTTCAGCGTATCAAAAGAGGGATCGTAGGTTGGATCAAAGGGCGACACTTTTTACAACGAAGCTTACATAACAGGAAGTCATGGCCAAAGCAACAATTTTGTCAGAAACAAGCAGAATACTTGAGTGAACAGATCTGAATCTGGGACAGACCTGTAGGACCTGGTGAGCTCGTAATCTAGAACCACGTTTGCTGTGATCACACCGCTCTGCGCATCAATGTGGAATGCTTCCCCTTGGTTGCCAGAGAGAATGGAGTACTCGGCAAGGCCGTTCATCCCACTGTCCAGGTCCGCAGCAAAAACCTGTGAGGAAGCAGCTCTTCCGTTAGATAAGGATTTCATCCTGCAAGATGGGTTAAGACTGTTTTTCAGACAAATGCACGATGAAAGAATTACGGATTGCCAAATGCACTTTAAAAACAATGATCAAAGGGCTTACATTTATAATATAGTAGGTAATGGGTGGGCAAAGTGTTCTGCAGGCTCGTTCAAAGGAGTTCCAAATAGCTTTCAGTAGGCGTAGGCGTAGCCCATGTTTTGAACTACAATTTTAGGCAAGAAGCGAAAATACAGGGATACCTCAAAGAGATTGCAGGTTCCGTTCCAGACCACCCAAATCAAACAAATATTGTAATAGAGCAAGTCAAATGAATTTTTTTGTTTCCCAGTGCATATATTATAGTCTATTAAGTGTGCAACAGCATAACATTATATCTAAAAAAAAAAAAAAACAATGTACATACCTTAATTTAAAAATACTTGATTGCTAAAAATTGCTAACCATCATCTGAGCTTTCAGCGAGTCATGATTTTTTTGCTGGTGGAGGGTCTTGCCTTGATGTTGATGGCTCCTGACTGACCAGGGTGGTGGCTGTTGTAGGCTGGGGTGGCTGGGGCAATTTTTTTAAAATAAGACAACAATGAAGTTGGCCACATTGATTGACTGTTCCTTTCACGAACGATTTCTCTGTAGCTTGTGATGCTGTTTGGTATCATTTTACCCCCAGCAGAACTTCTTTCAAAATTGGAGCCAGTCCTCTCGCACCCTGCTGCTGCTTTATCAACTAAGTTTATGGAATATTCTAAATCCTTTGCTGTCATTTCAACAATTTCACAGTATCTTCACCAGGTATAGTTTCCATCTCAAGAAACCACTGATCACCAACACCATAACAAATATAATAATAATGAAAATGTGTAACCATTGCAGGAATTACCGAGCTGTGACACAGATAGAAGATGAGCCAGTGCTGTTGGAAAAATGCTGCCCACAGACTTTCTTGATGCACGCTTGCCACAGAGCTTCAGATTGTAAAACAAACAAAACAAAACAAAACAAAAACTAATCTCTGTGAAGTGCAATAAAGTACAATAAAATGAGGCACTGAACTTGAAAAAAAAATTGTAATTTGCTTGAATAGATTTCCAACTATATTTAGGTTCATACCAGTACCAGGGAAGGAAAGAAATCTCTGCATGGTGAATGGTAGTCTTTAATTTGTTGTTTTTCCTGCTTAAAGTATTGCCTGTAAAATTGGCCATATGTGGATTTTTTTATATATCTTATTGAAAGTCTCATTTTAGAAGGATTTTTAATTAATGAAATAGCCTAGATTTAGTGTGTTATAACAAATTAGATCCTGATCATTTACTTGGTAAATTATCAAAGTAGTGTTGAGGATGAGACAAAAGTCTTGCATAATTCTCCATGGAGATGTATTATTTAGTCTGTATTACATTTTAATAAAAAATTAATTCTATTAGTGGTTTCAAGATCTTGCTTAAGAATAAGTTGACGGATTAATTAAAATTTTTTCTTCCTTTTTTTAAAATTTTCTTTTATTATGTCATGTTAGTCACCATACAATACATTGGTTTTTGATGTAGTGCTCCACAGTTCATTGTTTTTGTATTTTTTTCTACTTATTTTTATCCTCTGTGTCCCTCAGCCTGGGCCTGACCTCACATTCCCATCATCTCTCTCCTGAGTGACCACACAGATGTCCTGACGGGTGTTGGCCTTGACCTCCCTCTGCTCTCCTCTATCCTTCACACTGTCGTCAGATCTCAGGGGATCCTGAGTGGCCCAAGTGGGACACCGAGGACCTCATCAGGAGGGCACACAAGCCAGCTACTTAGTAAAGGAAGGCAGCAATGCACAGTTCCTGGGAGGTCACCAGGAAAATAAACTCATGTGCATCTGGGCAGAATAAAACCCTTCATATCCTCCGGGTCCATATGCTTCCAAGTGTTATCAAGAGTAGGTCTCCCAGGAGGTGTATCCGTTAGGGTTTTAGGATGCCAGCAGCACATACCCACTATGGCAAACTTAACCAGGAAAAATGTATCAGGAAGATAGTGTCTGGGTGAAGGCCAAGGACCTGGGTCCCCCAGGGGCACAGTTTCTTTTGAGTTGTTGCCACCAAGACGAATCAGCTCTAATGTGCCTCTGTGCTGGTGTCTTACCACTCAAGTTTCAGATCTGAGGGAGAGAAAGCCTACACGAGACTGAGGCAGATGACAACGCCTTGGGCAGGGGACGGAGGACACGTCACTACCTTGACTGACAATCTCAGCAAGACTGCAGCTGACAGAGGATGGGCAGTTCCTGAAAGAAGTTGGCGGGGCTGTAACCAAAAGCGGGGACTGTGCGCAGTGTGATGGAAAAAGCAAGAACTACCACAAGCGCTAGAACTCCGGAGCCTTTGACATTCTGGTTTATCTGAACAGGACACAGGAAAATGGCAGTTTTGGTTTCCTGGAACAAATTAAATGATCTAAAAATGTGAAGAGTGAAGGTCCTTGTATCCATCCCTGACTCAGCCTTCTTGAAGTTTGACCTAATTTGACACATTGGCGGGCCAGGCTCCTTCCCATTTGTTGTACCTGGGCTTTAAAGGTGTCTTCCCCTTCTTGTGTCCTGCATGGAGCAGTCTAGCTCTCTCCAGGTGAGCATGAACGATGAAGAGGTGCAATGCAGTAGCGCCCCAGTGCAGGGGTCCTCTGTGAGAGAGCAGGCCCCACAGTGGCTCTAGAGGTCTCTGTCATCCCCCCTGAACATGTATCACTGCGCAGAGTGATACAGATGGGGCAAGGGAACGCCCTCCCCTTCTTCTCAGTTGTGGCTGAAACCAAAGCATTTCTGGAACAGGCTGGCGATTGAAGCGATTAGGGCACTGTCATACAACACAAGTCTGCAAAAACAGCAGAGGAAATCCTAGGTATCCTGGACAGTGTGGGACGCACAGAGCCAAGACTCCAAGATGGCCAAGACTCCACTGGTCTTGTCGGCACCAACAGAGAGGTCCTGTACATCTGGAGCTGAACTGAAGGTCAAAGGAAGGTGTCTCTCCAGATGCAGGTGGAGGCAGCCATACAGTAGAGCACTGTGGGACGTCTCATCCAGAAGGTGTTCTAACATGTCCTCAGGCTCCCTGACCCCCTCGACCCAGAGAGGAAGGGGAGTAATCATCACTAGGGGCTGGATCACAGTAGCGGGGTTAGAGAGGCCAGAGGGAAAGCCCCGGTGGGCTGGTGACTTTGCCAGGAAGGGGTTTTTATATGGATTTCTTGTGCGGATTCCCAAGAGGTTGTACATTTCCCAATGTCCAGCTTCTTGAAGACAAAACAGCAATTCAACTGTGAAGGGAAAGGTGGAACTGGGTCCGAGTCCTGAAGCAGGCAGAGAGGCTATCAAGGGTGAGTGGGTCTTAGAGCCTGCATGAGACTGCCTTAAAAACAGATCCTCTTTTTCATGGCTTAGGCCTCCTTGCTGAGATGGGGTGAGGCCCGGGAACAGAGGATCTGGGACTTTCACGTGAAATGTCTGCAAATTTCGCACCCAGGGAGCTCTTCCATGGGTCCATGCCTTCGTCCATGCTCATCCGGCTGTGCTTCCGCCAGCCGAGCACCTGCTCGCCCTTGAAGACCAAGCGCAAATACGATTCTTCTGCGAAGTCTTATCCTTTTCCTCCAGGAAGAGTCTGTCTCTCCTCTTTTCTCTCATGACATTAAATGGGCACTTCTATTTAACACTACTAACGTGCATTTACATCTTATGCTTACTTTTCTGACTTCCCCTCTAAGTTGTACACATGATAAACTGATCTGAGCTTTGTGCCCCTGTGGAGTTGCTGCTAGTGTCGGACAGAGTCCCTAGAGAAAGCAGGTGGGCACTAACAGCACGGGATGAAGAGAGGAAGAAGCGTGAACTCAGAAACTCCAGACTTCCTTCAAACTAAGGTTTCATCCAGTTCATCAAACATTTTACATGCCCTAGACACATTTATGTCCTAGAAAAAGGCTCTAGATATTTTGATGCAGACTGATGATAATTTCCATACACACACATACACATACACAAAACACATTTCTGTTACCTGAATGATGTGAGCATTGTGGGACAGGCCTTCAGACACTGACACTTGGTAAATGCTTTGCTCAAAGCATGGTAAGTTATCATTCACATCTTGTATCAAGACTGCTACTTTGCTGTAGGCTCTGTGCCCCCTACTTTCCGCTAAAACGATGAGTCGTACTTCATGTCTCACTTCAAAATCGAGAAACTTGGGTTCTTTCACAGTGAGTTCTCCTATTTTGATTCCGAGGGAGGAAAAAATGAAAAGAAAATGATGTTGTACTCGTTGTTTAAAAAGCTCCAAATCACCTTTCACTCCTATGCTCGCACGCTCCCCTGCCCCTCCAAATCTCCCGATGGCTGGCCGCCCTTCCCACCTGACTGGGCTCATTGTGAAAAAAGTTGAGAAATGTGGGGTTATTTGCAAGGTTCCAACACATAGGAGGGAGAGAAACTATGAAATAGGCGAAATGTGGGAGCTGTCTCTGAAATGACCCTTCTCTCTCCATATTTAGTCCATCTCCATGTCTGCAAAGTCTATCTTTCAAACATCTCTTGAATCTGCCCTCCATCGTCACTGCTACCGCCCTCCTCTGAGCCACTGGCATTTCCCACCTTGTCCCCTACATGAAGGGCCCCGTGGCATCACTCTTCTGGTCTCCCTTCTAATCCAGCTCCCATCCTGAACTGAATCATAAAAGTGGACACTGTCATTGTGCCACAGAAACCCTTTCCATGGCTTTCCATGGTGATTATGACAAAATTCAGCGTTTTTTAACTTCCATAGGACGGACGTGCTTGGGCCTCTCCTGCCTCAGGAGTCTCATTCCGGCCATTCCCCACGTTGCTCTCTCTGAAATGCGCAGAACACTCATAAATATTCTCTTCGTCAGGGGCGCCTGGGTGGCTCAGTTGGTTAAGTCACTGCCTTCGGCTCAGGTCATGATCCCAGAGTCCCGGGATCGAGTCCCGCATCGGGCTCCCTGCTCAGCGGGGAGCCTGCTTCTTCCTCTGACCCTCTCCCCTCTCATGCTGTTTCTCTCTCTCTCTGTCTCTCTCTAATAAATAAATAAATAAATAAATAAATCTTAAAAAAAATTACATGTTCTCTTCCTCAAATGCTCGTTACACAGTCACCATGCATGCTCTTCCATCTGCCTGGCATGGTCCCTACTTCTGCGCTTCCTCAGGGATCTTTCCAGACCAGCCAGCCCCATACGGTCACTGCGGTCAGCCTGCAACAGACTCTCACGGAGCACCTGCATGTACTGTGCTCATCTGTTTCAGACTGGTGCTTCTTCTTGGTTTAGAAGCTTACAAGGCGAGGATGGGTGCCTATCTTTTACACCAACTGTCATATTCCTAGTGCCTAGCTCAGGGTCTGGCCTACAGAAGGCATCCATAATTATATGTTATACCCTCATATACAAAGTATAAACAGGTTAGGGAAGCTGACTCTTGGGGTTTGTGCCTTGCATGAGTTTCTCCTCCAAATTAAGAAAATTCATCCCCTGATTTGATTTCCTTCTCAACTTTCTGTTCTGTTTTTGTTCTCCCTTTTGCTGACAAATTTTGTACTGAATTTATTATTATTATTATTTTATTATTTACTTAGCTCTCACTGTCAGAAATTCCACCGAATAGAGATTCATTGAATGAACACTGATTGGGAGGTTGAGACACCTGAAACCAAGTATAAATCCTAGCCCTGGCTACTTAGTTTAGGTAAGTAACCTCCACTATGTCTGTGACCCAGGGTAAGTCATTCAGGTTCTATGGAGCTGAGCCTCCTCTCCTGTAAAATGGGGGTATTAACAATGACTTTGTAGGGTTGCAGGAGAAGTGATACAGTGCATATTTAGAATGTTCCTGTGCAGGATCATGATATATATTCCAGTGTCCTACCCGTGTTCCTTATCCTTTCCATCATCAGGTATGGATTTAATATCTGCAAAAGCTCTGAATTTAGAAAGAAAACACTTCATAGCCATGGACTAATCAAAGTCTGTTCTTCAGGTGAAAGAACCTGAACTGTTTCTGGCAATATGGCCTAGAAGCCATAGTTCTTACTGTTCTGTCTGAACCAGTTCCCTCAGACAACCATCCTAGTCCAAGAAAATGTCAGGCTCTTGCCTACTTACCTGGATGCTAATGGGAATCATGCCCTGTTCTAGTGTTCTAACTTCAGTACTGAGTGTTTTTGGGAGATTTTTATAGCTTCTCTTCTGTTATTAAGAACAGCTAAATATATTCTATATGAGGAACTCACTATACTACAAAATGTAAAATTTCCACAAACCACTTTCGCTTATTGTCATCAGTTATCAACTCAGAAAACCAGATTACTCTTATGGGCCACAGTCTGATGTGACTGACACCCCTGGCAGAAAATTTAGGGTAGATATGACCATTGGTAGCTGGAAAAATCATTAAGATGCATTTTGATGAGCCGGTAATGAAAAAGCTGGTCTTCAGAAACCTCTGTGAAACAAGAGCTAAACCGGCACCCCCAAATGGCAGAGGAGCCCCAGTCTGAGGTAGGTTCAAGCTCTCATCCAGCACTCCATCTCCACTGAACAGAGCACTCCACTTGCTATCATGTTCTGTTACTATTAGCCAAAGAAAAATAACATCGAAAAGCAACACTAAATTGCCAGTGTCACTTAGTAGAAAGCGTGCCAATTACAGCACAGATCAAAGTGGATTTTTTAATAAAAGGCTTGTGTTTAGGCTTTGATAATTGGAATTTTGCACTTGGAATGGCCCTGCAGTTCTAATGTTTTCCTTGCTTGGCTTTTATTTTTGGCATAATAATTGGCATATGCTGAGAAAGTTGTGTAAGTGGGAAAGACAATATCCCGTCTGTGAGATGACTCAAGGCTGGCACACCTACCAGACCCACATTTGCCTGGGATGATATACGCATATTTTTCTCAAAGATATCAAGGATTTACTGTCACCGGTGAGATGCAAGAACTACTGGGCTTTCAGTCTGGGCAGAAGTCCACGTTTTTCCTTCCAGTACAAGCCTCATGGGCACCGACTTCATGTTAGTTCTTACGCTTAAGCGCACCAGTTCTAGAATAACTTGAGAATGAAATTGCAGTACTATTTTCTTTCTCATATGTGTACACGTGTAGCTTTTGCCCAAGTTATAAAATACACGTCGAAATGAGATTAAGATTCTTCAAATGCTAACTGCTTGGTAGCATAATCAGGGAATGTCAATCCAATACAAACTGTGCACATGCATATGAATATACCCAAAGCAGACTGTGATAAATATTTATGTTATCCAAAAGTTCTGAAACTATCTCCTGCTAAAACCACATCCTTGACACATGGCAAGTTTGATCATTTTTGTTTTATGTCAACCTACGAAATCATGGGATGGGATGGGAATAACCAAACCATTTGTTATTTACATACACGATGTGAGTAAAACTTCAACATTCTTGCTGGTGTAGACAATGAGGAGTAGATGTTTTTAAGCTGACATGACAAGGAGTTTGAACACAAAAGTCAACCTTCGGTTTGTGACTACGGGACAGAGCAAACACTGGCGCAAAATGGACAGAAAATGCGGTTCTCATCAGAGATCCTTCTTATCAGAACTTATGAAGTCAGTAACTAACAAAATGGCTTTCTCACATTTTTACCCTTGAGAAGAGTAACCATAACCTTAGTGATCTTTACGGATTTATCATACACGCCAATTTTCTATTTTAACTGGCATATGGCTTAAAATACATATGCTCATAAAACCCATGTTAGCTTTACACATCAGCTTGAAGATTATGTGCCAAAGGTGACATGAAAGATGAATTGAATATCATAATTAAAAGTTTTTAAAAAGGTTTCTTGACAGCGGTATGGAAAACTTCATAACAAAAACAACTAAAATGCTTGATAAATTGTGTGTGTGTTGAAATGCATGATTGAGTTGGTGTACTAGTAAGGAATCCTCAGAGGACAAAAACAAAACAAAACAAAACAAAACAAAAAACTGAAAACAGTAATCCAGGAAGCTAAGTGAGTACTAGAAGCCCATTTTTGTTCCAAGGGACTCTTCTTCCTTGAAATCCATCTCTGATAGCTGCACAGAGTATGAGAAACAAGAGAAGAAGCCTGAACCCACAAAAGGTGAAGAGTCTAATGGGAAAACCAGAATAAAGCTATAAACCCAAAGGCTACATATGCTCCAAATGAGTGATCAATATTTAAAAAACAAAAACAAGTTCAAAATGGATGCACAGAAACCTGCTTTTCTTGACCTTGGTGTTGGTTGGAAGGAAAATAAAAGGTCTCTGCTGTGAATTTATTAACTTAAGCCTGAATTTATGGTAGCCATACTATCACAGCTATATGTTTTTAAAACCCTCAATAATTACATTTAAGCTAGTCTTTGCTTGATGATGTACCCAGGTGATCTGCTGAAGGAAAACAAGTCCTCTCTAAAGGGCACAAATTCAACCCAGTCTTCAAAGAACCCTCAGAGAAAAAGTTTTAAGAACAATGAACACTCATAGTTAACAAGCATGAAAATCACAGAGAAACAAGGCACCATGAATGAGAGCTGGCAAATCTATGGAAAACTGAATTAATCTTCAAAGACTTAAAATGCTGGATTATTGGACACAGGATGTATAATTATTGCATATGTTTAAATGTATAAAAAAGAAGTTTAGAAACATGAGCAAGGAAGAAGAGATTACTTTTTTACAGGCATCTAGTTATGGAATGAATAAATCATGGGGTTAAAAGGTACAACATAGGGAATATAGTCAATGATGCTATAATAACGTTGTATGGTGTGACACATGGTAGCTACACTTGTGGTGAGAGTAGAATTACATATAAACTTGTTGAATCACTATGTTTACCCCTGAAACTAACGTAACATTGTGTGTCAACTATACCTCAATTTTTAAAAAAAGATTATTTTTTTATGAGACCAGGAATTGTTGACAAGGAACCCAAGAGAACTTCTGGAAATAGATTGAAGAGAAAGGGACAAGGAGATGAAAAATGTGCAAAAGAGATGTAGGAGAGAGTGTCTGGCTCAATACTTGTCTAACTAGGGTTCCAAAAAAGATATAAACAAACAGTATTTAGATCAACAGCTAAGTTCTTAATGCAACAATTGGAAACCAGAAAGCAGTGGATAATATTTTAAATGTGATGAGAGAAAATAACCATGAACTTAGAATTCTAAGACCAGCAAACATATTTTTTAAAAACAAGAATTAAACAAAGTCATTTTTAGACAACCAAACCTGAACAAGTTTACTACGACAGACCCTCACTACAGGATGTACTTCAGGTAGAAAGAAAATGACACCAGAGGTAAGTTTGAGATGTAAGAAAGAACAGTTAGCAAAGAAGCACAGAAATCTATTTAAAAATATTAATAATGTGGTAAGCGATGTGAATTGTGTAAGACTATTGAATCACAGAACTGTACCTCTGAAACAAATAATACATTATATGTTAAAAAAAAAAAGGAAGAAGAAGATAGCAGGAAGGGAAAAATGAAGGGGGCAAAATCGGAGCGGGAGACGAACCATGACAGACTATGGACTCTGAGAAACAAACAGAGGGTTCTAGAGGGGAGGGGGGTGGGGGGATGGGTTAGCCTGGTGATGGGTATTAGAGAGGGCATGTTCTGCATGGAGCACAGGGTGTTATACACAAACAATGAATCATCAAAAACTAATGATGTAATGTGTGGTGATTAACATAATAAAAAAAACAGAGAAAAAAATATTAATAATGTCTAATTGGAAAGAACTATAATTGTGGCCCACAGGAGCTTATAAATTGAAAAAGGGATATCTGGAGATAAAGAATTCTAAATCTCTTGTATTATTCAGGAGGAGGATATTGATTAATGTTAGACTTCAATTATATATGTTAAAATAGCTCGGCTAACCACTAAAAGAAGATAAATAGCTGTATAATTCCAGCAAACCCAGGGAAGTTGGTTCATGTTTGGGTAATGATTATATATGTTGAATGCTCAGAAAAATATTAGAATCAGTAGTTTACAGGTTTTCTAGATACAAAATCAAAATATAAATGCTAATTTCAAGTAAACCTAATAGCATTGTCAGAAAAAGCATTTTTTTCACTTACTTTAGCAAGAAAAAGTATAAAGGATTTAGACTACATCTAACAAAAACCATGCAAGCCTGCTTTAAAAAAATTAAGACTTTATTAAAATATATTTAAGGAAACAATGGATGTGATTTTTCTATATCATCCTGGATTCGAAGACAATACTGTAAAGATACAGGCTTTCCCCAAAATGATATTTAGAATTAATACAATTCCAACAAAAAATTCAAGTAACCTAAATGGCTGGATGAATGGACAAAGAAAGTATAGTTTATTCATACAATGGCATATTATTCAGTATCAACAAAGAGAATCCCGCCGTACGTGACAACATGGATGAATCCCTAGAACGCTAAGTTGAGTGGAACAAGCCAGTCACAGAAACATAAATATGGCATGATTCCACTCATATGATGTATCTAAAATAGTCAAACTCCTAGAGGCAGGAAATAGAATGGTGGTTGCCAGGTGCCATAGGGGAGGGGCGATAGTGACGGGGAAGTGCTGTTCAGTGGGTATGAAGCTTCAGTTATGCAAGATGCGTAAGTTCTAGAAACCTGTTGGATAACACTGTGCCTCGAGTTAGCAGTACTGTATTGTACACACTTATAATTTTGCTAAAAGAGTAGATCTCATGTTAAATGTTCTTACCACAGTTAAAATAAAAGAAAAGAAGAGCTTTGGTAGATGATTATTAGTTACAACGCACCACTATACAGAGCTTTGTGAGGAGGATACTTTGGCCTGATGCGTTAGTTACTTAAATTCTAGATTGAGGCCATGCAATTGTTTTGGACATTTTCTTTGTTAATTCGAGTGAGGTTTCACCTGAAATCAAATGTGCATGTCATGAATCCTTGGGTTTCATGTATGAAAAGTGTGGATAGCTCTTACATCACCCAAAGACATGAATAAATCTCCTTTCCTTGGGGAAAAAAACCCCAATAGGCGTGTGTGTGTGTGTGTGTGTGTGTGTGTGAGAAAACTTGGCAAGTGGATACAATGATTCATATTAGTGCAAAGGGCCAATAACAGCTAATATACTCATGAAGAACATGAAAGTGGGGCTGCTTCCTTGGTATGGAGATTGATTATAACGTCTATGTGATTAAGGGAGTGTGGTATTGGTGTGTGGACAGACAAAGAGATGAGTGCAAAGGAGTCAAGGATCCTGTAAACGGTTATGGAAACAACATATGACAGTGGGGGTATTTCAGATCACAGGGGAAGCTTATTGTCCCTGGAATTACTGGTAATCCTCTTTAAAAAAAAAAAAAGAAGAAAAAGAAAAAGGAAAGTTATCCCTAACTCATGTAAAACAGGAAAATAAATTCTAGATGCACTATAGATGTAAACGTGAAACACGGGACAACCACTAACAATTGTAAAAGACAATGCAACAATATTTTCTTGATCTCAGGATAGGGAAGAATTTCTTCACTTACAAAATGGGCAAGTCATAAAGTAAAAGACTGATTAATTCTAACTCATCAGAATAAAAACGTACCAGTAAGAGAGTGAAAGACAAGCCACAAATTGTAAAATATATCTGCAACAAAAAGCAAAGGAGAAATGCTAATGAAATTTATTAAAAATCCTTACAGTTCAGAAAGAGAAACACAAACAACCCCGTAGAAAAATAGACAAAGTGCATCAAAATGCATTTCACATGGGAGAAAGCAGTAATGGCCAATACACTGTGAAAAAAATGGCTCACATTCATTAGTAATAAAGAAACGCAAATGACAACCGCAGTGAGATACCATTTCACACCCACCAGACTGACAATAGAAAATAGGGCGTAAACAACCGTGATAGCTCTCATTCAGTGCTGGTGGAATGTAGGGTGGAGCAAACTACCTCATAAAACAATTTGGCACTATCTGTAATGCTGAACATATGCATCCTCTGATGTATATGCCCAGCCTAGACTCTGGGGCCCGGAGAACTCCTCACATATGCACCAGAAGACACGTATGAGGTCGCTCCTCACAGCATTTGTTATTATATCCCCAGACAGGAAAACCTCACTGTCCATCAATGGTAGAATGGATAAATAAGTTGTGACATAGACTTAAAGCAGAAGGCCATAAAGAACTGAAAGTGAAAGAGACCCATCTGCATGCATTAACACGAAAGATTCTAATTTTGAATAAAAAGAATTGAATCCCAATAAAATACACAGACTATTAATCCATTTATATAAAGTTCAAAAATAAACCAAACAGTTTTATTGTAGAGAAATGCATTTACTATAAGTCACAAGGGAATGATTATCCCTGAAGTAGGGACATTAGTCAGCGTGCAGCCGTGGACAGAAAGGAAGCGATCGGAAAAGGGCTCAAAGGAAGCATTGACAATAATGGCTGTGTTCTGGTTTATAACCTTGGCAGCAGGTACATACCTTCTTTGCTACTCCACTCTAATGTGTGCATAATGGCGTATGCACCACAAACCGCAGTCAAAATGTTGAGCCAAAGAATCAAGTCACAGACGAGAGGACATTAGCATGATTCTATCATGATGTTTCAACCAAGGTAAAAGGACATAACACATCATTTAGAGATTCAGACACGGTTGGAAAATTATCAAGAAAGAAAGGCAGTGATCAATGCCAAACTCAGATGACTGGTTATGGATTGCCTTGGGTCAAAGTAGAGAGACACAGGGACTTCCTGTGGTTCCAGTAATGTCTCATCTCTGGAGATGGATGGCAAGTACATGGCTATTAAAGAATTTTCTATGTTTTAGCGTATCTTCTTGCAGCTGTTTCACAATAAACTTGTGAAATAAACTTCAACATAAATAAATATTTAATTGAAAAGTGAAGAGTTTTTTGTGGAAGTCCCCTTTGGACTAACCCTAGGCATATTTTACCTGAATTTTAGAGACTCCTGAAAAAATAAGGCCAAGCCTGGGCTGTGTTAAGGGTGAGGTGACAGAAGGATGTGGGTAGCCTGGGAAATTGTACAAACTCTGCTACTCTCCTTCTTCTAAACATTCTAATCTCAGCTCCTTTCCCAGGACCTTCAGACCCGTGGACTGCTAGAAGCTTAAGGCTGGATGATGTTCACAAAGGCCTTCTTGTCAACAGGCTTCCTGCACCACCCTTTAACCAAACGATGGGGCAAAGAGATGAAGAGCTAGCAGGCTACCTCAGAAAGGCTGCTGACCAAAGCTGGTATGGACCAGAGTCATAAAACTACCCGGGATGAGAAGGCCTTTGCTTAAGAAACTACTCCCTCTCAATTCTTCCCATGTGTATGTAGTACAGATTACATAAGGCAGTTGTATGGTAATATAGAAATTATTAAAAACATTCTTCTTGAGGTTTGACAATGCAGCAGTAGATATGTATCTACTACATAGTTGTTAGTCAAAAAAGTATGTTTCAAATAATCGATTGGTATTCATTTAAAATACAATAATGGTCTTATTAAAGTTAAATTTAATACATGCTGTATTTGGAAGTAATTTCTTTACCATCACATAGAAACCTTTCCAGCTGTCCTTTTTTGTTGCATTGTTGACATTCAGTGGCGAATTAAGAAGAATCTCATGATGAAAATGCCCTATAGCTAGACATGTGTGGTTATTTTCAATTCAAACTCAATATTGATGGTCTGTCTTCTATATCTCCCATTTTCCCAAATAGATGAGTAAATTATAAGTAGAAACAAGTTTATCTTCAAAAATTCAAAGGGTAGGCTAGGTACTGCCAAATGTGAAGAACAGGATTCTTAGCAAGTACATGTAAACAAATAAGTAGTCTTGATTTCCCACAATTTCTCATCAGCTACCATAAAAAAATTGTCTCTTACTTCTTTTTTAAATTATTTTCCTCTAATTTTTCTATCTTTCAAGTTTTGAGTTTCCTCTGCAGAAGAATTTCTTACTAGTAACATTAAATGAAGCAGAAAAAAAAAGCTATTACAGGAGAGAGAAGGATCACCTGAGTTGGAGCACAGGGAAAAAACCCCATCTTCATTTCCACTAAAAATGGAATATTTAATGCTGTCTTGTGTTGGGTCAGGAGCAACAGCTTTTACAGTCACAATAGAAGTACCTGTAAAAAATAGGTAAAAAAAAAAAAACTTTAGGAAAAGAAAATTTTAGGGAAAAACAAGAGCAAACAGTGGGTATTTATTATTTGCTTACTACATTTTCATTTGTTCATTCATTCAGTGATTAGTCATTGAGTGTCTTCAATAAGCCAGATCCCATGCTAGGTGCTGGAGACAGAGTGACAAGTTAGGAAAGATCTCTATCTTACGGTGATCATTAACTAAAGTAAGGAGACAGATGACCATTAAACAGATACATTATCAAAGTAGATTTCAGATGTGCTAAGTTCCCTGGAAGAAAAAAAAACAATGCAATGTGATAGAAAACACTTTTGTGTGTGTGTGTGTGTGCGCGCGCGGGGGGGGCAGACATATAACATTTCAAGTTATAGGAACAAACTGATTCCCAGCATGAAAGAAGAATTAGCAAGCACTGATAAAGGCAATGAGACAATTGGTGTGATTAGAACTGGGATTTCACTGGAAGGTTCTCAAGAATCCATTCTGGCCTCAAGTTAGCACTTTGTTGTCTTCATGTGTAATATCTCATGCCCTTTGCTGTTCACCTCTGTTTTACTTTCTATCCTGGTTGCCCATTTGTCCTTCTCCTTTAACTGCCTGTCCTTTCAAATTATTTTTTTATTTAATCAACTTTATTAAGGTAACATTTACATACAATAACATACACATATTTTAAGTATACAGTTATATATATACATATATACATACATATGTATACAGCATATATGTATATATACAATTATATACGTGTATAGTTTTAACAACTATATACACCTGTGTAACCACCATTAGAACCAAGCTGTAGAATATTTCCATCACTCCAAAAAATTCTCTCTTGACCTTTTGCAGCCAGTTTTCTCTTACTTCTGGTCCCAGGCAATCACTGATTTACTTTCTGTTACTTTGTTTTGCCTCTAAAATTTTATACACATGAAAATTATACAGTATCTCTCTTCTTTTGATCAGCATTATCTTTTAGGAATCAAGCGTGTCATTCTGTGTATTAAGAGCTCATTACATTTTTTATTGTAGAGTGTATTCTACTGAATGGACATACCACAGTGTGTTGATCCATTTTTCCATATATGGACATTTGGATTGTTTTTGGTTTGGGGCTATGATGAATAAAGCTGCTATGAACATCCATGTAATAGTGTTTGTGTGGACACACGTTTTCATTCCTCATGGGTAAACACCTAGAGTGAGTGTGTGTTTAACTTTATAAAAAACTGCCAAGCTATTTCCCAAAGTGGTGCTATACCATCTTACATTCCTGCTAGCAAGATATGAGAATTCCAGTTGCTGCATATCCACTGGTATCATCAGCCTTTTTAACGTCAGTCATTCTAGTGGAGGTGTGGTAGTTCTCGCACTGTGGTTTTAATTTTAATTTCCCTGATGTCTGATGATATTGTGAATCTTTTCATGTGCTTGTTGGTCATTTTCACTCTTTTTAAGATTCATCTTTGTTCTTTGGCTTTTGTTCACTATTTACCCACCACTTCTGAGAAACTTTTTCATAGTTCTTTACTGGTCCTAGTCCTCTTCTCTTTGGCCTGTAACTTACAGGATCTACTTTGGATGCCCACTCTGGCAGCGATCGCTGCCTCTCCTCTTACTTTCACGCTCTCTGGCAGGATGCCACCTCTTGGCGAAGGTATGCATGTGGTACCTAGTGGGAGCTGGGAAAGAGGTGGGCTCTGCAAGAGGCTCTCTGGCTGCTAAGTGTGCCGCAATGGGGGCCTGATTTAGGAGGGTGTCAGCAAGGCACAGGGGGAAAACTGAAAGGAAGCATTTGATAAGAACACAAGTGTTGATGTGGTGTCTGAGATGAGAACAGAGCAGGGATCATTAACTTAGATGCCTTTGAGTAAAAGTAAGAAGTGTGGACAAACGAAGGAGCCAGATGGGTAGAGGAAGCTGTCTGATGTGCCTGAGACACTCAGCTTCAACTCATCACTGCCAGTAGGGAAGAGAAAGCAGGCTTTCGGATGCTTGAAATTCTGGTCTTTTTAAGAGAAGCTCAAAAATTCATATTTATTTTCATGTGAAATCTCCCAATTTGTAAATGTCAGAAAATAATTTAATTTAGGGGAAAAACATAAGCCATCGTAGGGGCTGAACAAAACACGGCTGTGGCCTGATTACAGGCCTGAGTCTGCTCATTTACCATCCCTGATAGAGAAGACGAATCTCTCCTTTTTGTTATCAGCCCTTCTAGCACTTAGAGTATGGTACTTATTTGTCACCCATGAACTTGTACTGAACGTACTCATAGACTGATTTCATCTTTCCACGAAGTTGGACTAAATTCTGTGAGAGCACAGGAGGTTTTCTATATATTTGTGTTCTATATATTTCTGCAAGTCTAGATTAGTTTTGCTTCTAAAATTTCATGTACTTGAAAAATCATGAGTGGCTGCCTTCTTATGCTTAGCATGCCTTTTTGAGAATCACTCGCATTGTTCTTTGTATCAATAAGTGTGGGAAGAAAGGAGGTAATAGAGGAGATGGAGGAAGTAAGGGATGGAGATGCTCACTGAAGTGTTCTAGCTTGAGAGGCTTGAAGAATGCCTCTCTGCCTACAGGGCCCTTCTAAACCAGCAGCAATTATTAAAAAAAAAAAAAAAATCAGGGGCGCCTGGGTGGTGCAGTCAGTTAAGCCTCTGACTCTTGGTTTCAGCTCAGGTCTGATCTCAAGGTGGTGAGATCGAGCCCCATGTCAGGATCCATGCTCAGCTTGGGATCTGCTTGAACTTCTCTCTCCCTCTTCCTCTGCCCCTCCCCACTGTACTCTCTCTCTCTCACTGAAATAAATCTTTAAAAAAATAAATTAAATAAATTAAAAAATCACTCACTGCTATAATACACTATCTGATAGTGGGATTTTCAGTAGTTAAAAAAAAATAATAATACCTATTTAAGACCTCTGCTGGGCTTCCACATTGTCTTCTACTGTGCAGGCCCCAGGGAACAAGCTCAAAAGCCATCTTGCTACAGGTTACAGTAAAAAATTCCCTAAGCCAGGCCAAATCAATAGATACTTTTTTTCCCCTTGATACTTAAAAGGGTTTCACTAAAAAAAAGAGAATAAAGAAAAGGCCCTGGAACACATAATATTTTCCCCAGGAGCCTTCAAAGACAAATGCAATGATCACTATCCATATTAAAGGAAACAAGTATGTGATATTATTCACAAAACTGAAAAGTCATTGAGAAAAGGCATAAAATGGAATTCATTATGGAGAAAGAATGGGAAAACCAGAACTGGATATATTACTTTCTTTAAAATGTTATGTTTAACACAAACTGTGACAAAGTTTTAAAATCATTTATTGAGGCTACCAAATGGTGGTTCTTTTCAAGCCAGTTATGAAGTCATTTAGTGACAATGTAAAGAATTTTAATTAATCACGGTGGAATCAAGTTGCTGCACATGTTGAGAATGTTTCAAGTTGCATTATAATCTGAGACTTATTTTGTTACACTTTAGGAGACATATTGTTAATATAAAAATGCCTTACATTTTCGGTAGGAATATGCTTTCATAGTAGTGCAGTATGTTTTATCTTTAGCGCTCAATCACAATTCTGTGCTTCCTGATACAATTTAGTTTTTAAGCACAAGAAATTTTATTTCAACTGGCTTGTCATATGTTCTTAAGAATGGCAGTAAGAAGAAAAACAGCTATGCAGGCAAGATGTACGGTCTTGCTGACGGCCTTTTCTCCATGGCTTAGGATGCTTTAATTATATGCCAGATTACAAAACAAAACATGCAGATCACTTGCATGTAAAAAAATAAAGATGAGCACAGAATTGTAAATAAGAATCACATATGGACTCCCTCATAAAAGGAACAATCTTATTTTTACTGCAAATAAAATGTTCATTATATCAAATGAAATTGTAGCACACAAAGAATTTCATTCAAAATACTTCAAACTAGATGCTAAAGTCAGCAAAGAGCGGCAAATATTTATATATCTTCTTCCTCAGATGAAGTTTAAATTTGAGACTGTCCCCAAAAAGAGGAAATATCTAAAGGATCTTTCTAGGTCTTGGCTTTTCTGTGCTAATTTTACTTAATTTACTTAATTTATTTTTTAAAGATTTTGTTTTTTAAGTAATCTCTGCACCCAACATGGGTCTCGAACCCACAACCCCAAGATCAAGAGTTGCACACTCCACTGACTGAGCAAGTCAGACACCCCAGCTTATTGTGCACATTTATTTATTTATTTATTATTTACTTGAGAGGGAGAGAGAGAGAAAGCATGCTAGCTGAGGGAGGGGCAAAGGGAGAGGGACAGAGAGAATTTCAAGCAGGAGCCTGTCATGGGGCTTGATTTGAGCATGGAGTATGGAGCCTGTCATGGGGCTTGATCTCACAACCCTGAGATCATGACCGGGGCTGAAATCAAGAGTCAGATGCTCAGCCGACTGAGCCACCCAGGTGCCCCATGCTCATTTTAGATAAAAGTCTGTCTCTGGGCATCTAGGGAAGATTTAAAATTACTGTTCATTTCGCACAGAGGTAGAAATGATAAAATGAAAACCAACACTGTACCTTTAACTCCCATGAGGCAATTGAAACATACAGAAAAATTTACATTTTCAGCTTTTATGAATTTTACTTTAAGTCTAATATTGAATCAAAAAGTATAATACATTCAATGTTCTTGTTTTTTCTTCTTTACAATCAGTTGAAAAACTAATACCATCTGTAGCAGCAGTGAACTATCTATTTAAAAGCAGAATTATGTAACAATTAATGTTATGTGACTAGAAAAATCAATATTCATGGATGTATTTAGGTAAAATAATAATAAAAACATTTTATTCAGAGCTGTTCATGAGTAAGTACTTGTAGAGTTTTAGTTTTGTCATTTCTAAGCAATGAAAGTATTTTCTTATTGATGACTGACTTGAGATTCTTTTAAACGTTTGGATGATTTTGAATTGTCCATTATCTTTTAATC